GAGATGCCCTTTGGCATGTTGGTTAGCGCAAGGCCCTAGAAAAATGAAGTCACCAAAACAATCGCTAAGCTGCCTTACCAGAAAAAAGAGCCCATCTCATTCAGCTGCTTAGAAGTTTTGAAGTCTATAAACAAACTGAGGATAGGCTGTAGGATTTAATTAGCTTGAATGTCTTAAGAGAGCTTTCCCAGGAGTTGGGATTGTGAGCCAGAGCCACATGAACACAGTGCAGAGCGGCAGAGGCTCGCAGTGCTCAGCTGCACACCACGGTGCTGCTCGGATGCTGCTGGCCGGTGCCGCCATTGCAGCAGCGTTCCAACCCCGTGCGCAGTGTCACCCGCACAGTGTCTGTCACCGCTGCTGTTACTTGCGTTGCAGCACCTGGAGGCAAAAGCTCTGTTCGTCAAAACACTGTGCAAGCAGGTAACAAAAATGCAGGCCCCACTCCAAAGACCGTTTCCAACTTTCCTGTCGGAGCTGCTTTTCAGGCCAGCTCAAACAAATGGTTGAGATCCATGCTGTTACAGGACAGGGTGCCTTTTTATCTCTCTGCTGGCCCCAGTCCTGAAATAAGTGGTTTCATCAGCTTCCCGGCTGGCTGGTCCCATTTTATAACAGTCTCTCCTGTTGGCACTGCCAGCCTCACCTTTGCAATGCCAGTCACACGTTAGACAACTTGCTGCAGTTGCCCTCTTTTAGCTTTCACCCTGGTCAGTGAAGCTTTTACAAAGTATACAAACTTAAATGCAGAGAAACTGCAGAGCTGCTGTGCGAAGGCTGGAGATGGATGCTAAGATGTCTGCTCTCACCTACAGGGGTCCCAGAAAGGAACTTGCACCATCCCTGGCGGGGAATCCTGTGATACCGCGGCCGAAGGCAGCGGCAGTTGTGCACGGGAGCCCCGATGACCCTGGGCAGCGCTGGCTGCCTGCACGACCGTCCCCATCACCTCCGGGAAAGGCTGTCTGCCCGCACCGCTCCTCCTGACTCGGTGGTAAGTCACTTGCGTACACGTGGCACAGTTTGAGGACTGCGGCTCTGCTGCATTTAAGCAGTGCAGGATGTTTTCCTGGCCCTTTCAGGGCAGGATGTGCCATCAGGGCACTGTCCATGCAGGACTGCGCTGCTGCCAGGCATGCCATGGTGAGCCCCAGCAAACAGGGAAAACTCCAGCTCCTCCTAAGCACAGCACCATGTCTCTAAGGAGAACATTCAGCTGCCTGCAAGGTAGGAGAAGGTAATGCGCAAATATCTTCCGCAGGCTCAGCAGCCTCGAGAGGTACTTTCCTAAATCCAGACGCAGTCTTGCGTGTAGGTGGTCTGATTTTCAGAATTATGGAGAGCTCAGCAGCTCAACTCACACCCCGAGTGCTTTGGGGAGACAGGCCCCTCCTGGAGCAGCCAAGCGCAGGGCGAGGAACTTACCCTCTCTCTTGCAAACATTCATTTCCCCTGGCCCCGGGAGGAGAATAAAGCCTTGCAGGCTTGTGAAGGGGTAAGAAACAGCCCCGCTGAAACAGCCGCCCTCCTTTCCCAGCCCTCCCTGGGCTGCAGCGCTCGCTGCCTTTTCAGCTCCCAGACCCTCTTCTGATAAATCATTTGCCTGATGTGCCCCAAAACCCAGCAATTACGGTGCATTAGCATGGATGTATTGTTACCCCCAGACATGAACAGGAGCGGGAGTACGTGCTGACTTGCCCCACTAATTTCAAGATGATACCCAATGCATAAGTTTATCAGAATCTGCCCAAAAACTATTTAAAAATGTGATCAGTAACTGCCCGTTTCACTGGGACTGAATTTTTTTCTTTCCCTCTTTGCGACGCTAAAGAGCTTGAAAATTCCCATGTTTTGCTCAAAGCATACAATAGTGTCACACAGGGGGAAGATTCATGTCCTTTTACTGACGAGGAATGGTTTGTAAATGTAACGTGCTGCCACTGGAACATGTTCGCGGTTGGGAGGAAACCCTGTCTGGGAGCACTGGAGGCATTGTCTAAAGAAGCCCCAAACTTTCTTCTGTAAAAACAACCTAAAACACTTTGGAAAGTAAAGTGTAAAGCAGACATAGCAGGGCTGGAGACTGCGTGTTCAGAGCCTGTAGCCAGCCCTGCTGCATGCTAACCATCACGGTTCAGGTTGCTGCACGTAACAACACTGCAAGAGCAACAAGGCAAAAAGAAAAGCCGCAGGCTGGAAGAAAAGGAAAGCAGTAAGGACAGTCTCCAGTTCACACTGCTTGCTGCGTAACTCTCCCCAACCCACCCTGATCAAACATACATAATAGATACTTACATCCCATTTGATAGCGCTGATCCTGTGTCCCCTCGGTAATGTCTCAGCAGCAGGCTGCCAAGTAGCCACATGTGGATATAGTTAGCATTAGACATTCCTCAGCCTTTAAGCGAAACCGAGGAAATCCTCGCTGAGCAAAGCAGCGCTCGGTCTCCTGCACTCTGGGCCGTTTTCATGCTGAAAGCCAGCAAAGTTTCCCCGCGCCCATGTGCCTACCGGGGAGGGGTGCGTGTGCCAGTGGGGTCTGAGACGAGACACCGGGCTTCCTCCTTGCACACACTTGCTTACTGTAGCATGGTGGAAGGAGCAACCGCACCAGGGGAAGGAGCTGGGTCCGCTTCCAAGTGCCTGACACGTGATCGGCAGGCTGGGGAGTGCAGATGGCCTCCAGCGCCGCAGAGCCCCGCGTCCGGCAGCTCCCCGGGTCTTTCTGCGCGTGGTCATCTGCACCCCGCGGGACAGGGCAGGGACGGGGGTGTCGAGGGATTGAATGCAGAGCCAGGTTGGGGACTTCCATCAATTCTGCTGTTCCACTGGTTAAAAATAACAACCACAAAAAAGGCTTTTTTTTTCTGCTTTTTTTTTTCCCCCCACTATTTGGCTTTTTTGTGATTACCTCTGTAAAGGCTCAAAATTAGAAATAGAGGTTGGGTTTAGCTCAGAAGGGAAATCCACTTGGGGGTTGGTTTCTTTTTTTCTAGTAGGGCAATGATGGGAGGAGGCGGGGGAGCTGAGCGGTGCGGAGGCTGAAGACAGATGCGAGGGTCCCTCCCAAAACACTGAACAAAAAAAACCCCACCCATTTTTTTTTTTCCCCCATTTAATTGGAATTACTTCAAAACAAAACATTTTTATTTGGAGCCAAATCTAAATTGCCATCGCTACCCATCTGTCAGCTGACTGCAGCCATAGCGTTTCCTGTCTCTGTGGCTCCATTTGTCTCTGCAATGGAAACGACGGCCCTTGTTCCTCTAACAGAGGCCCAGGGTCTGGAGAAGGCCCAGACCACGTCCCCTTTAGTATGCAAAGTTTTTCATTTACAGTGAACTTGTCATAAAACCAGGTTTTGATCTACTCTTGTTTTCACGAACACCCAACTGTTTTTTAAACGTAACATAAAAATGCTTTTTTATGTGTCTGTGCTTTTTTGATGTATTTTTAATTTCAGCTCAAATGTTTTGCTTTATTGAACACCATGTCACCATGAAAAGCTGTCATGTGGACGGGTTCATGATGAGCAACCCTCAGGCCCTGTGTTCAGGTGCTTCAGGCTGGGAAAGCCATTTCCTCGTGACCTGCAGCGGTCTGAAACGCAGCAGTTCCTTGCCGAATAGCGCAGCTGATAAAAAAAAAACTCAGCCATAAATGTTACTCAGCTTCATGCTTTCCCTGTGCCAACCCAAGGTACCTTTATGCTTCTCTGCAGCAGCAGCCCCAGGCTATTTTTCATCCCTCCTCCGTAAGGAGGCAGATGACGGTCACGGAGGGGAACAGCAGACCGGTGTGTCCACCTTTGCTCAAAGGGGCTGGCTGCGGAGTGAGGGGGACTGCTCCCTGAAACCATCGGGCACTCGCAGCAGGTATTTCCACCGCATTCTTCCCCCCCAGGGTTTTGGGACCTACTATCCTTTTTGCTTGCTCCCATGGAGAGTGAAAACAGAGGCTTTCGTTGCTCTGCGGTGCCTTTGTGGCTGCTGTGGCTTGGAGAGTCATGCAGGGAACTTGGGAGGTGGAGGGAGTTTTCTCCATGGGTGCTTCCACTTGGTTGTCGTCTCACCTGTACCTTGTTCCCTGGGCACCGATGCATGGCCGATTCATTCTTCTCACTGCCAGCAAAGGTGCCCTTGGTCTGTCCCGTGGCATGTCACTCTGTCTTTATAAGATTGGGTCAGTAATCTTGTTGACCCTCATCTGTAGGTCAACCCTGTTGACCCCCGGGTTGGTGTGTTGGCACATGGCTTTAAGTGAGCCATGTGCCAAATGTCCTTCTCCCTGCTGCAGGGCAGAGCCCTGCTTCCCCGTCACTGTATTCCTGCAGGCACCAAGCCATGCGGTTGGGAATACAGCTTTGTGGTAAATAAAGAAGGGCTGATCTTGTGATTTTTCAAGTACTGTCTGAGATTTAAGTGATTCAGGGTGAAATACTGCTGTGGTCGAGTTCATGGCAAAAGGAATTTCCCCGGGTTCAGTTGTCAGGTCAGCCAGTGGCTTCCTGTGCAAAGCTGCTGGAGAAGATTTAATGTCCAAGCTCCTTGGCTCCCCACCTACGGGGCAGGCAGCCTTGTGAGAAAGCTCACTAATAGCGAGGCGCTTTGGGATTACAGCGAGGCTGTGGCCTCGGAGGAGTCCCAGGTATATAATAGCACTGAAAGAAACACAGGGAGCTCTGCCAGGTTTGGGACAAACCTCCCCTTCTGGCCACGTTTGCTAAAAAAGGCTAATCAAAGCAGTAACTGGAAACTGAACAAACGTGGTGGCTTAGCTCGGTTTCGACTTGAAATCGGAGCCATCAACTTGCACATGGGGCACCAGCCTCGGCGTGTCAGTAGAAACATAAGACTTTGGGCAGGACTCTGTTGTGCATCCAGACACTCTGGCTGGATGCTCCTTTGAGAGCTGGTGATAGCCAATGTGGCCAGAAGTTCAGTGAACCCCTTTCTCACTACTGCATTATGTGTTTAATGAAAGTCTCTGAGGCGCTTTCCATCAAAAGTATACATTTATTTATAAAAATGGAGGAAAAAATAGATCAAAGTGCTTTTTTCTATAAAAGATGATTCGTTGGAGGTTGAATGTCCTAGACCTGAGTGTACATGGCATTGCAGTCCACAGCTGTAGATGGCTGATCCAGATCTGATGCTGACTATCATGGAAATTTGGAATTAGAGGGCCAGCAAGGGATTTTTCCACTGATGACTAAGGGACTTAACCACACATCTCCTACGGATTTCAGTTAGAGATGTATGGCCAAATCCCTTCAGTGGCTTTAAAATTCAATCCAGAGAAGAAAAAAAACTGTAATTCTTTTGACTCTAGGCCTTAAATTGCCTCACCGTTTGAGCCCATCTCTGTACAAAAGACAAATGGCCAGACCCTTGTCCGGTGTAAAGCAGTGTATCTCACCAATTTCAGGTACGCACTCCAGTATGTGGGTTAGACTGAAGAAACCCTCTTGACTCCCATTCTAGTATCTTCTTGGTTTAAGGTGTACAATACCAGAGGTTCACGGCTATACCAGGATTTTCAGTTAAACTAAATCAGCAGTTTAAGCGAATTCGAGGCTCCTCATTGCTGTACGTGCTTCTGCTTTCAGAGTCTGTGGGCAGCTGCCGGGGTGTGACTCGGAGGTGGCTCTAAGGTACCTTTCGAGACCGCAGAGGGGAGGCGACACGGTGACCCAGGCAGCAGGACAGCTTCTCGACGCCGAACCAGATTTTGAAATGAATGGCAAAACTAACAGGTAAGGAAAAACCCCACCATTTCCTCACACTGGGAAAAGACCTTTGTCTGGAGCAGTGTCCGCACCAAGCACCTACGCCTTCTCTGAACAAGTAGTTTCCCTCAGCCCTAAGCCTACACGCTTTTTTGGCCTTACGTTTTCCGTATCTTGACAGTGGTGCAAAGTATATTCTGTCTTCTGCCTCAGCTTCCCCCAAATTTTGAAATGGATACAGTTCTGAGATTTCCCAGCTATGAAACTCCAGCAAACTGTTTTACTTGGAGGCTCTCATTTTTTTCATAAAGCTCTGTAACCTGCAGTGCTATGACATTAGCACCCCATTTTGCATTAAAAATAATCCAGATGTCCATCTCTTCAATGGTAGGGCTGAAGATGAAAATGGAAACCTGGAAAGTGTTGCTGCGAGCTGTCAACATTCGTTTTTAATTTGACTTGCTCTGAAAATCTGGAAGAAAATTTTATGATTTCTTTAACGTCCGGCTCGTGATTTTCAAGCGCTTCCGATCAATAATGCTGAGCCCTTTTCTTATTTTTGAGTCAAGTACTGTTTTCACCTGACAAACTGGTCCACTGTAAGCAGTTGTGGCATGTGAGAACTGAAGCTGCTGGAAGAGAGCACCTTCCCTATCTGCCACGATGGTGCATCGTTGTCTTCAGCAGATGAATAAATCTGTGGTGTATTTTTAGCAAGCATCTCGGAGGGTTAATGTTGGCCTTTCACTGACTCTGCTCTCCAGGACAGTTTGATATTTTTCCTTCGTGACAATTTTATATCAGGGTATACTCTCAGGTTTATTTCTACCAGATGCCTCACAACGAAGTGTATCTGGTGAGCATTTTAACTTTCACTCTCCTCTTCGTTATTATCCATTTGAAAACTAGCTCAGCTATGCCAAAACAAATCATTCAAATTCTCCTTCGGATGGATCTTTTATTCTTTCTGGCAGACTGAAAGGAGCCTCCTTCAAATCTGAAACATTGCTAAAACTACAAAAACAATCTGTACCACAAAAAAGCCCGCTTGGATCCCTTCCTGTGAGCGCATTTTGGCCTGGTTTCTGCTGTTTGTTTTATACTTTGTCTATTTCATTTTTTTATATGCAACTGATTAGCACCTTTATTTCCTTTTAATACCGTGTGCTGGTTTGCTGCACGCTTGATTCTGAAACACCCTCACCCCCCCCACCCCAAATATTTTATATTTTTTTTCCAGACGTACCTCAATACATAGAGAAGAGCTGTTACGGGATAAGGCCAAATTCACCAGCAGCAGCACTGCCCATGGCTTATCTCACACACCCGACGTTAGCTAATCGGTAGAAATAGTAGTAAGGGCGTGTTGCCATCTGAGTAGGTGCAGTGTGTGTGCAACTAACTTTGCACAGGCAAGGAAGAAAGCATGAGCGCACTCCTCTTCCAGCAGCGTGACAGCCAGGCAGTCACCGGGGGTGCTTATTGTAGCCCTTGGTCTAGCATATAGCACTGAGTTCCTGGTGTATCAGCAGGTATCCCCAACATCTAGCTCTTTCTTCAGTTCCACTCACTGCATTACTATCTGAGGTGAAGACACGCCTCTAATTTCTTCAACAAATCTCTGCTAATGTTTTTTCCTTTGTCAGTGCTTCTTCCTTCCCTGCGTAATGCGAGTTCCCTTGTCTTTGCACGCTGGTGTAAAACCACTGTAAAATCTTCTGGGTAAAACAGAAGTAAATTCAGAGTCAAGCCCCAGCCAAATGCCAAATCAATGCAAATGACATCGTGTACTCACGATCCAATTGATCTATTTCATTCTAAGGCTTCTGTGAACATTGTCTCTATGACTGTGCCAGATAACACTAAAAAACCAAACCTACTCTCTTAGCAGGAAGGAGTCCGCTTGAGACCGGAATCGAGTTCTCACTGCATATGATGATGATGACCCATCGTGGAAAAGAAGGTATGAAATAGCCACTGCTATGGTCCCAAACCGTGCCATGTGCTCAAGACAGCTCCACCATGGAGTATCACTGGAAAACCCTTTTCCTTCGAGTCTCTGCAATGAAGGCACCTGTGAATGCTGTTAAGATGATGATATTCCAGAAAGGTTGCCAGGAGCTCCAGCACTTAATGGCACTTTTGAGAGGGAATCTGTGAGTAAGAGGAAACACATATGCCAATTGCTGGCAGAGGAATAAAATGCACAAGGTTTGCATTAAGAAAAAAAGCATTCATGCTTAGTCCTCTGTAATACAGTAATAGCAGCAAAGAAGTTATTCAGCATCTACTTCAAGTGCAAAAAAATAAGCCTTTCTCATTTTAAGCATTAACAGATGCTCTAAAAGCTAGCAGTTCTCACTACTCGGTGGCTGCCTTCTAACTGTATGTGAAAGTTGTGCACGTGAATAGCTAGTCTGAGAGCTTAGAAATATTCATTACAAACGAGACAGCAGGCTATGCATATGACCTTGTTTTCTAAAAAAAATCATTTTTGCAAAATCAAGAGCAAACCCTCTTGCTGTTAAAGTAATTTTCAAGTTTCTGATGGTTTGGGGTTTGGTTTTTTTTGGTTTTTTTTTTAAATACCGTTTGCCAGGTGGGTTGCTGCCAAACAGTTCCCCTGGTAGGCTATGGCAGGAAAGCTAAATGCTTTGAGGTATGGTTCCACAGCACCCTAAACTAAATAAGATCAGCATCGCTGTGCTGGTCCCAAAAGCGAAAGTGTCAGAGATAATTGCTTCATTTTGGGAAGAGCACTGGTACTACTGTAAGGGAGAGGGTAGGACGTGGAGCAGGAACGGGGGAGATGAGACTGCAACAGCACTGACGTAGAATGGCTTAAGGTCACGGAGCCACAGTCTTTGTAGAGATGGTGCCTGCATGAAGTCCTGCTTCTTTGAAGCTAAGGGCAAGACAAACAGATTCACTCACACCCTGAAAACATTCTCCCCATCTTTGACCCCCTCCATTTTCTTTCCACACTGTGTATGTGATCTTGGGGATTCAAAATCAGCAGAAAAAAGCCGGGTTCCTCAGGCTCACGCTGAGGCACATGATGCTCAGCACATCTGAGGCATGTGGACCCCAACTGGGTAGAAGATGGCCATCTAAATCCTCCTGATTCTGGTTTTCAATTAGCTGATGCTCACAGCATGCACTTTAGCAGAAGCTAAGGGAGCGGCACCAGCCCCAGGAGCTCGGATCTGAGCCCACACCTGAATCCCACGTTGCATCCCTCCTTACCGAATTGCAGCTTTGACTCCAGGAAGGATCAAGATGTGAGTTGTGGTTTAAAAGGTGATCAGGGCTTGCCTGTCTGAAACCTGGTCCCACCATGACTGCCAGGGGCCCGATACTTGCGTGCACACACAGGCTTTATGTGTGCTGGCAGAGCCACTCTCTGCATCTGAAATAATTTCCGAGGCCCACTGGCTATTCCCACGGATGGGAAGGGCAAAGAGGGCTAGAATTAATGAAAAAGGATAAGTAAAAACATATCAGGAAAGCATAGGGAATATGTCAAAGGTAATCAAGCTGTTGTGCTTCATGGGACCCACGTCATGCTAGATACTTGTTGCTTTGTTACGGGCAAAGGTATAAACTCTGCTCTGTTGCAGTCTGCATCAACCATACCAGGAGAGAGTTGGCTTCTCCCACCGGAACTGAAAGCACAAGTCAGCCCTGGGGTTTGGGTGCTTTGTCCTTCAAGCCATTTTTAACCCTCAAAATCAGGGCAGGTAAATCCAGGCACAGCAGCTGATGTCCAATTGTCACACAGTGACAACACCGCCAGGGAAAGGCTCCGTGCAAATCCCGACTCTTGTGGGACTCGATGGTGTGAGCTATCCGGTGAATTCAGCAGGCCAAGGGCAGGGGGTTAAGAAGAGAGCGAAGGCACTAGCAGCCAGCTGGTCAGAGGCGATTGCTCAGCTCTGTGGGCTGGGGTATTTGGTGGTATGTGATGCTGTGGCACACGTTAGAGCAGCAGTTCCAATCTGCGCTCCACAGGTAACTTGCTGACTAGGAGACTGTTTTCCTTCCAGCACTGTGTTTTGCTTTTCACGGATGCAGGCTCCCTCGGGTTGGTGGGAAAGAGCTAAGCACGATGTAGTCAATATATTATTGTCCACCACGGTCCAGAAAAAGTTGGGAATCATTCTCTGAATTTGTGTTTGTCCATATTGCTTGTTCAGTGCCTGAAATTTGTTCTACAGCAGCAATCTTGTGCACTGTGGAAGATTATGACTGTCCCAGGTAAAAGGGAAACCTTCAGGTGGTGAGAGGTGGGAAGGAGCTATACTAGGGTAGGGCAGGACAGATGCACTTGCCACAGATGATCCTCATTTGAAGAACGAAGAAGGAAAATAATATAAAATTGGCTTTTCCTTAACTTCCCCTCTGTCTTTGCTTGATGTCAGGCCTGAGGGCATAAATGTCTTCAGTATAAAAAATATATTGCAGCTCTCCAGGTGATGGCCCTGGGCCACAGCCTGAGAAACAGTGGCGTTGTCTGCTTCTCGGAGAAATTCTCTGAGATGCCTGCCTTGCTTTTCCTCTCTCCCCCACCCTTCCCTAGGGCTCTCTAACTGTCTGGCTGCTTCCCTGTGACATTTCAGTCCTGAAGGAAGTCAGGCTGAAAGCCCCTCTCACCAGTTCACGGGAAGGTAACGTTGACTTCTGGAAACAGAATGAAATAAGCAACGTCAGAGGTCCGTGCTGGCTTCTGTGAGCACAGAACCTCTCCCCTGGGCATTCCCATCTACACGGAAACCTGCGGTGATTTTCAGGACTTTACATTCCCAGGCACTGGCAGCAGTCTCATACACTAGCTAAAGCAAGAAAGCCCCTAGCAATGCCACTACCCCTCGGGCTCTAGGAGCAGTCCTCGTTGGAATGGAGGCCCAAGAGCTCCTCAGCCAAGCTGATGAGACCATTTTCTTCCAGGGCTGCGATCAGCCGCGCTATTGTGGCCTTCTTCCCCTCCGACTGGATAAATCTGAGAAGCAGCTGATAGGCTTGTTCGTATAGTCCTTCTCGGTCATATTCGAGGGCCAGGTTATCAATGACAGGATCGCGCAGGGCCCGGCAGCTCTTCTGCAAAGAGCGACCCACTTGCTTCCATTTCTTGGATACGAGCTTGGCAAATTTCTGGTGGTCGTCTAGTGTGAGTGTTCTGTTGGCTGAAAGGGACAGAGGGCAGGTAAAACATAGGGGTTTCATGGCTGATGTGATGCAGCTTGGGCCAGTCCAAGGTTTGCTCAATATTCTGTGGAGCAGGGAATCTGTTCAGCATCCACAGCACGTTACTAAACTGCTGCGGAGCCGCTCTGCCTGTCCTCCGGTGTTTTAACACCAGGGCAGCACTGTGAGTTTGGAGCAGAAGTGGAAGAGCAGTGAAGCTGAAGGGACTTCCCCGCCACGGGCAGGGGGTCCCGCACACGGGTCTGTGCGCTCTGATGGCATTCCTCCACCACTGGGAAGGGAAAATCAGCTGGAGTAAGCCCCACCGCTTAGGGTCTCCCCGCTCCCTGTGTATGAGCTGGACACGTCCGCTCTCCACGTGGTCTGCCATCCCCCAGGGCAGTGCTGGTGCCTCGGGTGGCAAACTGTAGCACGTGGTGACACACTTACTTGCTCACAGCCACCTGCCCTGGCACATCTGAGCTCCCTGCCTTGCTCAGACCGTTCCCTTACTGAAATCCTCCCACAACATCAGAGTATCTGGGCTTGCCCCTACCCTGCAAGCTCGGCAATGCCTATTTTCCTCCCCCCGCCCCCAGATGGGACTGTCCTGTGGTTTGCCAGAGCCATTTTTTTTTCTGATGGACATCCTCTTTATTTGTTTCAGCCTTTCAAAAGCAACTCGGCAAGGCCTTTCTGACCAAGTCCCCTGTTCCCTACCTAAGCATCCTCAAAATACTGAAACGCAGACAGGAGCTCTCTCCTTGGCTGTTTAGCACTGGAAACTGTATACACAGCTTACGCATGCTCAAAAATGATCTAGCTGATCTCAAGCTAAAATTGCTATGTGAGACTATCTGAAAGCTCTCTGTAGGGAACAGACCCCACAGAAAGCCGGTGTACTGCAGGGAGCCTGGACAAATCGGTCTTGGCTGAAAGCAGGGCTGATGGTGTCCGTAGTAACCTTCCCAGTCTGATCCAACCTATGCTATTAACTCACCTCAACCAAATGACGTGGAGGAAGAGAACTACTCTCTATTCTTCCTTCCAGCATTAAGGAGTTTTAAAATGTAAGGAACCTGGAAGGGACATGGACTCTGAAGCATCTGGTTCTGTGCCACCCCAGAAAGAAAACGGGTTGAGGCCTGATCTGAAGCAGTATGGCGGTATCTTAGGACTATTGTGATTTCTTCCTTATGGGATGCTGGGAAATCCTTGATTTATCTGAGGTAGACCCCAATAAGTAGTCACATTAATCCTCCCTCTTGGGCTTCAAGGCGAGGAAGACCAAGGGCTCTCTTGGTCAGCTCTAGCTACTCACCAAACTCCTGTCCCTGAAAGATGAAGGTGACTTGCGGGGAAAGGGAGCTGCTTTGAGAAGGATAAGGTAGAGATGGGGAGTTCAGAGACGCGTAGTCTTTTACAGCGATATTGTTGTTGATACTCTGGTGAACGATCAGGCTCTTGAGGCATTCCTCCAGCTCTGTGATTTCCTCATCCCGCAGGCGGTCAGGCTGTAATGCAAACAGCATCAGTGATTCATGCCAGGTTCACCATCTTGCAAAGCTGTAGATGCTTAGCTGGAAGGCGCAGCTTAAGATGATGGTGTCAAGAGAGGAGCAATGAGATAGCTGTAGCATGAGTTGTAAACTGACCAAATGAGATAGTCTAATGGAGTTCTGGCTGTGAATGTGTGAATTTGAATCTGTAATGTGATATGAAACAGGCAATCTCCCCCTCCCGGGTTTCTCACATGCAGCGGTGAGTGCTTACACGTTGCACAAAACTGCTACTAGTCCACATTTATTTTCAGCAGCCCTCTGCAAGAATTAGGGCGCACCATAGGCAGCGTGGCTGCTCTGACTTACTCCGCATGAGGGTCAGACCCACAGAATAGGGTGACCTGATCCAACAGCTCATGGCCACCAAAGCAGGCAGCTCCTGCTACCCTCCCTTCTCTCTCTCTGCCCCTCCATTACCTAAGTTTTGTTGTTCCTGGATCCTCTCCGAGCCAGTTTTTCTCACTAACCAAGAGAAAAGTAGTCTGACCTCCAAAAAGCAGGCAATGAGAAAAGGAGTAAAGAAGGCAAAGCACACGGGAAGAGTCAAACCTGGCGAGTGCTCCCACTCGGTCTAGTGTTTAGCTCACGTACAGCAGGTACCCAGCACTGCCCTCAGCCACTGACAGCTGTGCCCTAGTGTCATCTTTCTGACTGTTGCACTGTTAGGCAGAGGTCAGACTGAGTCAGTTTTGGGGAACTGAGAGTATGCCCATCTCTTTTGTCCAGTCAGCTAGTTCAGCAGAGGGAGGGAGCAACAAGCAGAAGTTGACAGGTTATGGGATATCACATGTTGTTTGGTCCAGGGCTGAAAGGTTTGCATTTCATTCTCTGTGCTTGCAGAAAAACAACGTGGCAAAACAGGCTCTTGTGCCTGACCTTCCCGAGTAGATGGTGACTACCCATTTCTCAGGACCATCTAGAGGGAACCAGAGCTATAAGGTATTGCTAGTTCCAGGTGGAAAAAAAGAGGAGAGGAGAAAGGCAATGAGTTTAATCATGTCAAGTGCCTTGGTTTTGTGGTGAGATGACAAGGTCTCACTGTTCTTGCTAGCAGGATTAGAGTGCCAGTGCCAAAGTGTGCGATGAGCTAGGCGTTAGATATCGCCCCTGAGAGAGAGACTTTGCCTTCAGAAGGGCAGCC